TCTTAGGGTACCTTTCCTCAGCTCCCTAGAGGGCTTTGCTATAGAAGTAAACCGGTACCGGGGTGGAGGCCAAATAAGTCTTGAGGGCATGGAAGACCTCTTCACATTTTTCGTCCCACCGAAAGGCTGCTTTTAAAACCTTGAAGAAAGGTTGGCACTTATCACTGGAGCATGATACAAATCGGTTGAGTGCCGCTATCCTCCCGGTTAGGCGCTGTATTTCTCGTGTGATGGTGGGTGCTTTTATTTCGAGGACGGTCTTTACCTTATCCGGGTTCGCCTCGATGCCTCAGTTGTTGACTATGAAATCCAAGAACTTTCCCGCCGATACCCCAAATGCACACTTTACTGGATTCAACTTCATCCTATACTATCGCATGATTCTGAATGCCTCCTCGAGGTGTTGGACATGTGCCTATGCTTTTAAGTGACTTCATGAGCATGTCGTCAATATATATCTCCATTGTCGAGCCAAGCTTTTCTCGGAACATCCTGTTGACCAACCTTTGATAGGTGGCTCTAGCGTTCTTTAGTCTAAAAGGCATAACTTGATAGCAAAAGGTCCCTTGCTCGGTAATGAATGAGGTTTTCTCTTGGTCGTTAGGGTCCATTCTGATCTGGTTATATCCCAAGAAAGCGTCCATAAAGCTGAGAAGCTCATGGCCAGCCGTGGCATTGACTATTAAGTCGATTCGGGGCAGCGGGAAGTTGTCCTTAGGGCATGCTCAGTTTAGATCGGTAAAGTCGACGTAGAGCTGCCATTTACCATTTACCTTCTTTACAAGCACAACGTTGGTCAGCCAGGTCGGGGTAGTCGACCTCCCTGATGGACTTAGCTTGCAGCAGCTTTGCCACCTCCTCGTTGATGGCCTTTTGTCGTTCTGGAGTGAAGCTTATTCTCTTCTGTCTCACGGGCTTGTAGTGAGTCGACGCTAAGGCGCTGTACGATCACTGCGGGATCTATTCCTTCCATGTCTTCCTGCTTCCATGCGAACGAGTCTACATTATCTTTTAGAAGTGAAATAATCTTCTCTCTGATCACAGGGAGCAGCATGGAGCCCTCGAAGACTACGTGTTCTAGATCCTCATCCAGTTGCACGGGCTTCAGCTGCTCAATGGGAATGGGTCTGGTTTCCAGCTCGTTCCTCATATATAAGTCTTCCAGTTGGACCAATTCCACCTCCCTTTGCTTCATCGATGCCACATAACATTCCCTGGCGAGGCGTTGGTCGCTTTGGACCATGCCGACCCCGTTCTCAATGGGAAATTTCATCACCAGGTGGTACACCGAAGGTAATGTCTTGATTGAGTTGAGAGATAACCTACCCAACAGGATGTTGTAGGCGGAAGACGCGTCGGCGACAAGGAAGCGTGTAATGGTCGTAACCTGGCAAGGTTGGTCTCCTACTGTCAGGACGAGCTGTATAGCTCCGGTCGACAGAACCTTTTCTCCCGAGAAACCCAAGAGGTGGGTTCTCACGGGTTCGAGCCTGGATCTTTTGATGCCAAGCTGATCGAAGGCTGTCAGGAAGATGATATCTGTCGAGCTTCCGTTGTCCACGAGTACTCGGTGTACGATTTTGTATACAACGATCGCCATTATGACCAGGGGGTTGTTATGCGGGTGTTGGTATCCTTCGAGATCTGCATCAAAAAAAGTGATCTCCACGTCTCGGCAGGGTACCTTAGTGACGACTTGGATCTCGAGGAAATCTTGCGATCGGGCTCTCCTGGCATACGTTTTTCGCGTTGAGCTGGATTTTTCGCCTCTTGCGAAGCCTCCCGAGATGACTCAGATTTTGCCAAGAGCTTGTTGATGCTGCTGAGGTGCCGCCACGGCGGCCCAGGCTTCTCGTCCTTGATCATTCTAGGCTCTTCCTTCCCTTGCCACATACTGGCACATGTGGCCTCTATGTATTAAGTACTCTATCTCCTTCTTGATTTGGATACAGTCATTGATTTCATGGCCTGTGTCCTTGTGGAACTCACAGTACTTAGCGGGGTCTTGTCTACTGGGGTCGAATTTCATCCGCGGTGGCCACTGAATGAACCTTTCGTTCTGGACTTCGTGAAGAACCTTTCGTTCTGGACTTCGTTCTGGACTGGAAGTTTCAAGGGGTGGCAGTCATGGTGGGGCAAACCGCGGCTGTAGGTCCTGCGGGGGCAGACCTAGGCGATCTCGGACGTTACCTTTCCTCTTCGGAGAAGGCTCTCTTCTTCTCCTAGGCGAGCGGTCTTGTTTCGGGGATCGATCATGTTTTCCCTCTTTCCTAGGACTACAACCTCTTCTCTTCTTGCTTTCTTCAATCGGCGTTGGGCCTCCTTTCAAACGGAGGGCTTCCTCCCCGTTGATGTACTTCTCGCCTTTCGCCAGTACCTCAGCCATGGTGGCTTGAGGATTCTTCGCTACCGAAAAGAGAAAGTCCTTGGATTGTAGCCCGAGCCAGACATGAAAGTGATCAGTGCAAACTTATCATCCATAATTTTCACCTTTAGGCATTCCTGGTTGAAACGTTGTACATAGCTTCGGAGGGACTCGTTAGGCCTTTACTTGACGCTCAGAAGATGGTAGGAAGGCTTTCTGTATGTACTTGCTCCGATGAAATATGATATGAACTAGATGGATAATTCCCTGAAGGAGGAAATTGATACAAGTTGCAGACGGTTGAACCAGACTATTGCCGACCCTTTGAGGGTGATGGTGAATGCCCAACAGTGTATCGAATCAGGATAACCTTGAAGCTCCATCTGGTTTTTGTAAGAGTTCAGGTAGTCGACTGGGTCTTTGGTTCCGTCGAATGCCTCTATCAACGGCGTTTGAAACTTTTGGGGAAGGGGGAAGTGGAGGACCTCCAGAGTGAATGGCGATTCAGTCTGTTGGACCAGGGTATCCATGGTGTCAAGAGTCCTTCCTTTAACCACTTCTTTCATATTACCCAGCTCTCGTTGGAGCTCACGGAGTTTTTGCTCCAAATGATGGTCCATGGCATCTGGCGGGTAATAGGGCCTGTCTTCTAGATAAGTGGGTCTGACCCTGCTGTGGGCCTTATCTTCATCGCGTTCACCAGGGTACCTCCTTCGATGATTTTCTTCAGAGTGGCTACACTCGTGGAGCTCGATGACTCCATTAGGTGGGGCTTGGCGCTCCTGAGGAGGGGCGTCCTGATTGGCCTAGGGTGGAGGAAGTTCTTGACGTGCTAGCGGGATCTGAGGAAACTGATGTGTCTGTATCCACTCTATCAGTTCCTGATTCTACCTCATTAGTTGAACTATTGTTCGGAGATAAGCCTCTAGTTCGTTGGGAAGAGGGAGGTTTGCCTCTGGAGGGCGACCCTCGACGTCTCCTTCTGGGATCAGAAAGTTCTCTAGTGGATTATGACGGACTTGGGGATTGGCTAGAGCTTTACTCATGTTCTGAGTAGAAACCATCAAATAAACAAAAGATTAGAAAGAAAACAATGAAAAACTGTTCCCACAGACGACGCCAACTGATGATGTCTCGAAAATTATGGCCCAAGTCCAGTTGTAGATAGGGAATTGAAGAGTTTTATTTAGGTGGTGAGAACTGAGAGATAACCTAATCAGTAGAGAGAGGCACAGGTGTTAAGTGGTTCACCCCAGCTGGTAGCTATGAACAGATACCAGTAAACTAGAAATTTATAGTGGGTCATCAATTTAGAAGCTTGACCAGTTCATTTTAATAGAATCTCTTACTCCTAGGGAGTTTTTTATTACTTGGGAGTAGAAGGTTACAGAATTACACAGAGTTAATGACATAGATACTTGATTGATTACAATGCGAGGGATTTAATTCCTATTTATAGTATACATTTACCTTTTGTGATCTCTGTGATCCTTGCATAATTAACATAATTCCCTTGAGACTGTTACGACCCATATGCCAGAATATTTGGTTGTTATGGATTATATTCTCTAGACGTGACATATTTTTTTAGAGGTGCGAATTGTGGCTATCATCGTGTACACGAGAGTTACGTCAATGATGCTTTTTGACCTATGCCTCTCGAGTTAAAGATTATGAATTGAAAGATTCGAACAAAGATGTCCGAACTTAGCGTTGACTAATTTTTAGTATCATACATACCCACAATTTTTTTTTGTGTGGATACCATAGTCTTACCCCTTTCAATGGAGTTTGATATAGTCTTTCCAAAAATTTAATATAAGAAATGTCACTTTTATTTATAGTATCTCATTATTGGATCATCATGTTACATATGTATCATTTTGGGATATGTAAGGCATTATCATTTTGGGATAGTATCTCATTATCATGTTACGTTAAGGAGGAATGTTAAGTCTTCAAGTTTTATTTTTATGAGATTTGACTAAAAATTCTTTTTTTTTTGAGGTAAATGCAATTGACAATAAAATTTATCAAAAAAAAAAAACGATTATAGGAGCATACCAAACAACGTGATACAATTTACCTTCGATATGGGCCCCTATATCCAAATTGTCGATCCTATGATCTTATCTCTCCACGATTCTATGCGATTCGTCGTATATAAAATTTTTTATTAATTTTGTGAATGATTTATTATTTTTATGAGTATTTTATCACTATCGTTATAATTATTTTTATGTTTGTAAGTGTTTTTTCTATTGTTAAAATAACTTCTTTTTTTGGCAGACAACTGCCTATCGTCTCTGCTGTCATGCTTTATGTTTTATCTTATTTTTTAATTAGTCTATCATTAGCCTTTTAAATTTTAAATGAATTAAGAAAAATTCTACGAACACCACCATTATGTACCACCTCTGCTACACCACCTGATGTATCATAATTAGAGTTATTAAATATTTAATAATTATGTGGACCTATTAATTTAATGCTCTATCTTGAAATGGTGAAGGAAAATATAAGCTATGATCTAGTGTTGTCAAGCCCATTTTTGTAAAAGAGACCCTAAGAGTTACACATCGGCAACTAATCTGGAGAGAGAGAGAGAGAGAGAGACCTACAGAGAGAAAGCAAGATGAGGAATCCATCGTCAGCATCGCCGGCGACCATGTCAAATAGCAAGAGTACAGCTACACCATGTTGCAGCAAAGTGGGACTGAAGAAGGGGCCATGGACACCTGAAGAAGATGAACTTTTGGCCAATTATGTGAAGAGGGAAGGCGAAGGACGGTGGCGGACGCTGCCCAAACGCGCCGGTCTCCTCCGGTGTGGTAAGAGTTGCAGGCTCCGATGGATGAATTATCTCCGGCCGTCTGTTAAGAGGGGTCGGATTGCTCCTGATGAAGAAGATCTCATCCTTCGTCTTCATCGATTGCTCGGTAACAGGTACTGTTTCAATCTTTCTACTGTTTCATCTCAGTTTCCAATAACACGAATTATATAACGTCTATTCTTATCACTTTAGGGTTTCATTGTATAAGTCTCTCTCTTTCTCTGGGTGAGCATCAAAATTTTGTATCGGTTGTATAGTTTCTACCAACTCGGAAAAGTTTTGGAAATACTTTGAAAACATGGTAGAAATAAAGTAGAAATTTAGAAATTAATTTCGAAGGACTTCAAAATATTGATCAAAAACGTACCGAGATATGTTAACATAGTTCAAAACACCTCGTGCATGATAATTTCGATATTCAATCACTAATACGTAATCTTTTGATGGTGTAAATGTAATTGAAACCAGTTCGTCCATTTGAGCTGCTGAATCTGAAAGTTCTCTGTTATTTATTTGGGGTTTGATCATCTCAGGTGGGCTTTGATAGCTGGAAGAATCCCAGGACGTACAGATAACGAGATCAAGAACTATTGGAATTCCCATCTCAGCAAAAAGCTCATCAACCAAGGAATTGATCCTAGGACTCACAAGCCACTGGACCCAAACTCTTGCCCTAATTCTTCTGAAACAGTTTGTACTACAGTATCAAATCCAAACTCAAGCCTCAAATCTTACCCTTCTCCTAACCCCAAACCTAGCCCTAATTTTTCTGGGTCACAACAAGTCTGTGGCAACAATCTGGATCAGGATTTAAACCCCGATGTCGATAATAGCCACGAGAACTTGAAGAATTCTGATGCTTTGATGACAAATTTAGAAAGTGGCCATGTAAACAGTAGCAATGAAGAAGATGGTATGGAGTTCTGCAATGGTGACACTTTCTCTTCATTTTTGAATTCTTTGATAAATGAAGACGAGTTTACCGATCTCCAACAGCCTAACGTGATTGCACCTTCGATATCGTCTAAGCATGTAACACCTTCTACGCAGACCTTCGATCTTGGCCCTGTTTGGGAAGTTGCACTCTGATCAACCGTGGCTGCTTTAGATAATGCACAAGAAGGGTTAGCTAATTGAAAGATTACATGAGCAGGTAAATGGGTTAGATTGCTTCTTCATGTGTGATAATCTGTATGTTTTATACTGTCTATTTACTATCTCGTGAACGGGACTATGTTGTGGCCTAGGGAGTTCATGCCCCAAGTGTTTTCCGAAAACCCTAATGGTTCAGTCATTGTTTGAACAGTCACTTCTCTCTTTTTTTCATTGGAGTGTACTCCAAATTTTAGACCATGGTACTAGCTAGTTTTGTACCTATTTGTTTTCATAGCTAGTGTAAGGAAACTTTGGTTTGAATGTGTGTATCTATGTATTTTCTTGCGGATGTACCTCTACTATTTGGTTTGATTTTTCAACTTTCGTAATTGATCTCAAATTGCAAATGAATGTTGATTTGATTTTTTAATCTCTCACATTGATAATTTTTTTTTTAAAATATATAAAGATTTAATTTAATTTTTTTATATCCCTCTCACTCTTCCTCTATTTTCTCTCACCATTCTCTCCTTAGATCAATGTTACAATAACACAATTACATCAATCAGTTACACTAATTAGTTATAATTATCCTATTATACATCAAATAGCTACTAATGTGTTCTAATAAATCAAACAATTACACTAAACAATTATACGAAATTACAACACTAACACAATTTGTCTTTCAGTTGTTTACAAAAATCAAAGAGTTATATCATTTAATATCATGATATGGTTACACCAATTATATACACGAAATTGAATTTATCATTACACAAAAGATTTTACCATTATACCAAATTAGATATATATAATTGGTATAACCATGTTGTGATACTAAATAGTACAATTTTTTAGTTTATATAAATAACTGAATGACAAATTGAATTAGTATCATAATTTTATGTAATTATTTGATGTAACTGTTTGATATATTATAGAACAATTATAATTGATNGCCCGAAGTCATTGTTGTATCTAAGATAATTATATTAACACCCGACTTTTCCTAAAATTATTGACACACCCTTAGACTTAATATTTCAAATATAAAATAAACATTCTCAAATTTACTGTGTCGTAATAAAAACACACGCACTGGTAAAAGTTTGGGTTGTTATTTTGTCAAACTTTAGGGGGTGGAAACATAATTTACCAATGATCCATTGTTACTTTGCTATCTAATAGTCAGCTCTCATATGCTTGACCTGCTCCAAAAGTTTTTCGCCTCATGCCTCTTATCATTGGTGCTGTGATTGTCATTAAAGACAGATTCACCCCCTACAAGATTGACATTAAACCTATGATATTTTTAAAGTTGACCATAATAATTAAGTACATACTCCGTCAGCCTCACACATACATCATCTGACCCTCTTGAACCTTATACTCAAAGATTGTTCGCGAATTCAGCACTGATAGGTTGTTCGTGAATTCAATGTTTCATGTATTGAACTGCTTCTTCTTTTTTAAAAGGAGTAAGTAATTCATAAAACGATGACTATATGAAGTCAGAGGTTGTTTTAGTGTAAAGGCCCAAACTCTGCCAGTAGTAAAAAGAAAAGAACCCTTAATTATTCCTTCATTTTTCCCTGATCACATATCTCATCTTTTTTATTTGTACACATATTTTCTCTCTTTATTTTCATCTCTCACAACATAAAATCATGTTGTATTAGATAGAAAGAACAGACAATTAATTCATCTGCATAAGCTACCTCCTTAGTTCTAATAAACAACAAAAAGTTCATCTGTGACACGTTTAAGATTGAAAAATGAAAAAGAGACAACATCAATAAGTATTATAGAGTAGAAAGAAAAGAAGCCAAAAAAAAAAAACNAGAGAGAGAATGTGAAAATAAGGAGAGAGAGAGAGAGAGAGAGAGAGAGAAAGAGAGATTAAGAGTGAGAGAAAATAGGGGGAACAGAGTGAGAGAAAGAGAAAAAAAATAGGGGAGAGAGATTAAAAAATCAAATTAAATCTTTACATATTTGAAAAAATAAATAAATTATCAATGGGAGATAGAGAGAGAAAACAAGGGAAAGATAAGAAGAGTAATGGAGAGAGAGAGATGGAGAGAAAATAGGGAAGAGATAGTGAGAGACGAATGGTGAGAGACGGAGATAGAAAGAGAGATAAAGAGGAAATAAGGGAGAGAGATGAGAGAATAAAAATTATACATAATTTAAAGAAGGGTAGATAAGTAAAAAAAAATTAAATTTTATTTCAATTTTGTACCTAATCAAAAGATGTTTTATTAAAATTATACTTAATAAAATAAAATACTTATTCACACACTTCCTCTCAAATAAGTCTAAAAAAATATATTCATATCCAAAACACTAATGTTAAAACGTGTTGTGACAAGGGCTTGCAGACTTGCAGTGCAGTTTTGGGCTTTGAGGGGCCCTGTCCAAATTTGGGATTAGGCCTTAAGTCTATCAAAGTCAAGCCCTCCTTCGCTTAGCCCGAAGTCATTCCTAAATTTACTGAAACGTTGGAATACTTTATCTACCCCCAACAAGAGAAAAATGATTATTTCATTAATAACAACTCTGATAAAAGGTTGTATATGCCGGTCTGAAAAGTTTGTGTTAAGCTTAAAGAGTAGCTCAAGAATTAATAAAGATGATCTGTAAATTTAAACGTTTTAAGTTTAAATTGTAGTAACTCTTTGAAATTNACTCGAATTAACAAAACCTGAATATGTCGAAGTCATTGCAATTTGCAAATTGGAAATATCACCCGGTTTGTTTGTCGTTGCATCTTCTAAACACTTACGATCAGTGATGGGGCAAGAAATTTCGAACTGAAAGAGGGGGAAGGGAACTTCAAATACTGATACTTTTGAGGGGTCCAACATTAGCAGTTTAGGCCTTGGAGCCATATGAAGACATGGAGCAGTAAATTTGGGTTTTAGAAAAAGTTGTGGTACGTAGATATGTGAGAAGGTGAAGGGAATGGTGATGGTTGTATTGTGGCGGAGAGAGAGATAGAGAGACTCAAACATAAAGAAGTGCTAGTTAAATGAGTTCTGGCATGTGCAAGTAAGTAGGGGTCTGACCGGTAGATTCATTGGTGCACTTGAGAGTTAGGTGGCTAAAATGGGTGAACAGGATCTCGTAGAGTCACCCATACTTGCCATGTGAAGTTGTAAGCGTGAAAAGCATCCTCTATACCAAAACTATTGGAATGTGACTTAGAAAAGTGGGTAGAAAAAAAAGGTGCAAGGAACAAATAGAATAATGAAAATAAATTATTCATTTAGGCACAAATATCAGTTAAAATTTTTAAAGCAATGTTATTAGAATTTAAAAATCTGACATAATTTGTTGACCTAATTTATTGTGACTTTTGGATTTATTGTAGACCCTATCAAATATTGAAACTTGGTATTGATCCAATAATTCATATGAAGCCACATCATTATGCAAATAAATTAGGTCAAATTTTTAAATCCAAATAGCATTATTCAAATTTTTATTCTAGGCCTGTCAGATTCACAAATAATACCAGTACTAAGAGCAATGCTATTGAGACTTAATTTATTAACATAATTTGCTGACCTAATTCGCTATGACCTTTAGATTTATTGTAAACTTTATCAAACATTGAAACTTGATGTTGATTCAATGATTCTTATGAAGCCACAGTATTATGTAAGCAAAGTAGATCAAATTTTTAGGTTAAAATAGAATTATTCTAATACTAAATGCTTTAATAAGTGTGTTGATTCCTACGAAATACCGGAAGAATTAAAAAAAAAAGAGACAACTCTCTCAATTGTATTCAATAATAAAAAATTATTTTTCCCTAACGCTTACAGGACTTTAAATAGTAGTAAAACTCAAAAGCAACTAGGAAATTAGAATTCGAAATAAATTAAGAAACTAAATAAAATAAATCCTAAAATTGAATCAAAAGGTAAAATAAATTAATTTTTTAATTAAATTAAGAAATAAAATAAATCTTCTAGAATTTTATAATTGAACGACATTGATCACGTTCAAATAAAATGTCAAAATTGTTGCTATATGTACTGCATCAGAATGTAATTTTACAATCTAATTTATTGTAATAATTAAATTAAGTTAGTAGTCGCTGGAGATCAAACCAAACTATTACATAATCTAATTGTTTTATTTCTATAGTAGTCTAGTTCAAAGAATTTTTTTTTTTTTTTTTTTNTTTCAATTCTTTTTGTTTTTTTTCTTTACCAAAAATAATATTTTATTGAAAAAAATTCAGTTAACACTTTTTTTAGTTTATCATATCTTCAAAAACATCCCCTCTATTATCAAAAATATCATTAACACTTTTTCTAGTTTATATTTGAATATCACTGACACCTCCTGTTATTAAATCACCATTTATAACAAAAATAAATTATCTAAAATACCAAAATTGTCCCTATATAAAACTTCAAACAATTTTTTTATATAAAATTTGATTAAAATTCGAGTCGATTAAAATTTATTTTTTTTACATATTAAAATTCGAGTTGATTAAATTTTTTTTTCTATATTATAAAATTTGAGTAGATTAAAATTCAATTCGAACTAATTAAATTTTATTTTTTTACATTAAAATTCGAACCTATTAAAAGTTTTTTTGCGTTTTAAAAATCAAGCCGATTTGAGCTCTACTTGAGCTATTAGTCCCGATTAAAATTTGTATTTTTTTTATATATCAAAATTCAGTCCGATTAAAATTTAATACAAGTTGATTAAAATTTGATTTTAATTTCCAATAAAATTTTAATCGGCTCAAATTTTAATATGTAAAAAAAAATATAACTTTTAATCGACTAAAATTTTAATTAGCTGGAATCAAATTTAAATTTTTCTTAAAAAATACAAGGGGTTTCATTGAAGATATGTCTATGTAGAAGGGGTGTAGATAAAATTTTTCTTAAAATATATCATGAATAATTAAATAAAATTACATTCTAATTAACACCTTTAATATGATAGAAGTACCAGAAAAAATACAAAAAATAAAGAAGATGTTGTTAGGGATATGATAAAGTGAAAAATATATGGCTGAAATTTTCCCCATTTTATTTATTTTTTGGACTTTTCATTCTTTTATTTCTGTTATCATATCAAACAAAACTTATGGAAATTTGCAACAACCAAAAGGAACCTCAGCAAACGAACAGACACAATCCCGTGGAATGTGGGGCCCAAATTTTAATCCAAATTTGCGTTCTGGACCTTGTACCCACGTGTCTTTGCTTCTCCCTCCTCTCTNAGTTTTTTAAGTATAAAAATTAATTTTTTTGTCGATTTTAAGCCTAAATTAAAGTGGGAAATGCTCGTTATTTCGAGTTAACTTTCGTAGTTTCATATTCTACGCCGTGAGGAGAATAACGTAGCATATTTATTTACTCAAATTAAGTAAGAAATGAATGAAAAAAT